GGTAGGTAGATAGATAGGTAGATAATAGATGATAGATAGATTGATATATTGATTGATTGATAGGTGATAGGTAGATGATTGATAGATAATAGATAGATAGATGAAGGGCTTCAGTTACAGTACCACAGGTACTGAAGTGATAGTGTGAACCTGTAATTCCAGCACTTGGGAGGTCAAGGCAGGGGGATCAAAAGTTCAAGGTCATCTCCAACTGAGTTCCAGGTTCCAGGTTCCAGGTTCCCAGTCAGCCTACAAGAGAGCTGTCTCAACAACACAAACCACCACCACCAAATCCTACAACCAGGTTCCTTGGGTGAGAGAGATGGCAGCGCTGCTCTTTCAGGGACCAGCAAGGACGAATGTGTGCAAGACACAGAGCCGGACTTGGGGAGAAGCCGGCCTTGCCGACTCCATGATCCCTGGGTTCTGGTCTTAAGAACAGTTAAGAATATAAATTTCTGTTGTTTAAACCCAGCCTGTGAATTACTGTCATGGCTGCCCCCATAAAGCAATACCTGTGGCCTCAGAGAGCCTCAGCAGCCACAGGGAAGGAGAAGGCAGGGTGGCAGGGGGAGACAAAAGCTATAAGATGTTGATTGTCTATGCATAAGCTTGCTCCTCTTTTTGTGTGTGTGTGTGGGGGGCATTCTAATCCAGCCTCCACTGAGCCACATCCAGCATTCCTGTAGAGACGAGACTGATGGAGACCATTCAGTTTTTCCGGAACCGGTTTTGGCAATTTTCTCTACTGCCCAGCAACACCACTGTAATGGAAAAATTAAAAATGCTGCAGGATCCCTGGCTCAGTAGGCAGCAGAAATGCTGTAGGTCCCCAAGCAGTGGTAGCAGGCCATGTGGCGTCAGGCAGCAGGCCCTGAGAGCAGCCAGGCCCAGGCAGAGACGGCTGCAGGTCCTCGAGTGGGTCCTCGAGTGGTGGTTGGTCCCAGACAGGGAGACACATGACAGGTGGACAAGAGACAGAGACATGGGTAGGCTTGCCATGCAGAGAGAGGTTGGATATTTATTCAAGGGGTAATGGAGGGGGAAGGGAGAAGGGGAGAAAAGCAGAAAGAGAGAGAGAGAGAGAGAGAGAGAGAGAGACAGAAGTGGGGAGGAAAGGGAAAAGTGGGGAGAGAGGCAGAGAGGATGACAGAAAAAGAGAGCGAGCTCAGACCAGAAGCTGAAGATCAGCCTGCCTCAGCAGATGGGGAAGGGAGTGGGCATGGTTTGTCTCTTAAAGAGACAGAACAATCATTACAACCACTCCTTCATAATTTACTAAACAAACCAATTTCAGCACGCTAAATGAGTTCAGCTGCGTCCACATGGCTGCCCAAGAAGCAAGGTTAAAACTGGCCTGGAAATATACGGCACCCCCAAACTAGCTTTCTTTATTTCTTGTTTGTTTACTGGAGGCAGGGTCTCACCATGAAGGGAAGACTGACTTTGAACTTTCAATCCTCCTGCCTCCGCCACGCCATGCAAACCTCGCTCCCCTCCCTGTTAGACACCAGCTTGCCTGTAGCTCTAGAACATTTCTGGAATTCCTACCACATTCCTCCCACCTATGGGTTCCACCCACCAGGCCAGCAAGTCCCACCCACCCATCCTCTCTATGCAGGAGCTGATGGCCTGGAGGCAGGGAGTGGTAAGCAGACTCACACCACCACCTCCTCTGCTGGCTCCTCCCACGCCTTCCTCCAGATTCCCCTCCAGCAGAAGTAGCAGAACCTGTGCTCTCAGGGTGGGGGGGGCACACTGCCCCCCCCTTTCCTGTTCCATCTCGTTCCCACTGGCTGTCTCTAGGTCTCTAACGTGTTAGAGCCCTCACCGCCACGGGTGGGGGAGGATGGGGGGGTTGTGCATGACTCTCTCTACCTAGCCTCTTTCACCACTTACATCTGGTCATCTTTCCTGGTGGAGGACAATTCCTCAGGGAAGCCCTCCAGGCTAGGCCCCTGATTGGCCATCCCGGTACCACTTCTTTTTTGGTACTCCTTTGTACTCTGATTTACTAGGCAGACAGCTGATTAATATTCCTTTTCCCATTCCCAACTTTCAGATTCACAATATCAGAATTAATAACCCTAGTACGAGATCTCATTCATTGCACCCCCAGCCTGGGATCTGGTCAGTAGGCAAATTTGTTGGTTGAATGAATATTGTTGTTACTGTTACCCTAAATTCTTCCATCGCCATGGGAAGGTGTGTGGAGGTACATTGTTCGAATCTGTCTTCAGAAGGGTAGTCATAAAGCCAGGGGTGGTGGAACACAACTGTAATCCCAGCGGAAGGGTCAGCAGTTCAAGGCCAACCTCAGTTCCACAGTAAGTTTAAGCCTAGCTGGGCTAGAGTTTCACACAGCCCTGTCTAGGACAAAAGCCTTTGATCTTAGCATTCAGGAAGGCGAGGCAAGAGGATTCAGAGTTCAAGGCCAGCCTGGTCTCCAGGATAAGTACTGACCAGTCAAGGCTACTGGTAAAACAAAACAAAGCCAAAGGAAAAAGAAAACAAAACTGTCTGGAGAAGGTGGGGTGGGAAAGAAAGGGTTAGTGTTCAGACCTGCACTTTCAGATGGCTGCTGTGTTCCTGGTCACGTCGTCTTGGACTGCTCCGGCTGAGGACTGACCCATGGTGTTTCTAATGGGACAATGTTGTCTGAGGCAAATGGCATCAGAGGCAGGACTCTTCTACTGTGCACTGTGTTCTCCGGGGTCCCATTGGTCCCTCCAAGATGATTGTCTAGATGCCATATATCAGTTCTGCTACCTCTCAGCTTCAAGTTCACTCCCTCGCTCACCCAGAAGACTGAGTCAGGAGCCTCGTGAGTCTGAGGCCAGCCTGGGCTCTATAGCAAGACCCTGCCAAAATAGACAGACAAGGTGGGAAGGGAGAGAAAGGGAGGGAGAGAAGGGAAGGAGAGAGAGAGAGAGAGAGAGAGAGAGAGAGAGAGAGAGAGAGAGAGAGAGAGAGAATGGGACAGACATTCATAACATGCCTGTAACCCCAGTATTAGGCAGGTAGAACAGAAAGATTACCATGAGTTCGAGGCTAGCCAGAGTCACTTAAAGAACCCGTATTTCAAACGAACTAACAAACAGATGAACGAACAGAAGAACAAACATTAGTGGGAGGGTTGGAGAGACACTGGGATTGGAGTACTTTCCTCAGTACTGGCTGGACCTCCTGGAATTGACGTTGGGCCTGCACTCAGGACATGATGGTGCAGGGCTTTGCCGGTAGAGGGCGCCGGAGGGAGCACCGTGGGTAGAAAGGATTCTCGCCTGTGTGTGTCCTCTAGAGATCATCACCCCAGCCACAGGGTGGAGCAGCTGTCAGCGCTCTCGAGGCCCCCTGCAGCCCTCCCGAGGTAGAGGCCTCATATCCGCCTTGTTCCACCAGCCACCGGCCTCAGCCCCTGCAGCCGCGGTTGCTCAACTGCCCATGAATACCGAACAGCTGTAGCCGGGCACCCTCACAACTTCTCCACATTCATACTCCTAAGAGGTCTGAACCCCTACTTGGGGAGCACCTGCTTCCTTGGAGTTCCCCTAGGGAACTTTTGTGGTTTTTTTGAGATAGGGTCTCTCTATGTAGCCTTGACAGTCCTGTAACTCACTCTGTAGACCAGGTTGACCTCGAACTCACAGAGGTCCACCTACCTCTTGCTCCCTAATGCTAGGATTAAAGGGGTGCACCACCACCGCCACCGGGACCCTAGGGAACTTTTAAATTCCTTTGTGTCTTTCGATGTAAGCTTGATCTCTTTCTGTACTAATCAGACCCTAATTTTTTTTTTTTTTTTTTTTGGTACTACTAGAAGTTGAAGCCAGAGCCTTGCAATGCTCAGCAGGCACTCCATCACTGAGCCACATCCCCAGTCCAATTGGTCCATTTTAACCCCTGTGTAGTTTCTCCGGACTGAACACGGAAGGCTCCAGACTGCCCCATCGCCTGCGCTCCTTCCCAGGTGTCAGACTAAGGGACTCTCATTCCCTCCCTCTCCATTCCTGCACAGTCATTACTCCCCACATCGCTTCATGTGACTAATTCCTTCTTGACACGTCCCTCAGAAATCCCAAACACGGAAGCCCCTCCTCCACGCTTGGACTGTCATCCGGATGGGCCCTGTGTACCCTGTTTCCCCAGCCCAAGACGGGCTCTCTTCCAACACACACATCCCCGCTCCCCACTTCTCCCCTCCACTCCAGGACTTCTTCAGTCACGGTGGTCTCCTTGAAGTTCAGACGGGCAAAGCAGATCCCACCTCACCATTTCTGTACTTGTTGGTCTATTTTTTTTTTCTTTTGCAATGCCAGAGATGAAACTTGGGACCTCACACACAGGTAAGGGAGGCGGCACAAGGGTACATGCTGCCCAGCCTCCACCTTCCATGCAAGGTTTGTTCCTGGCTCCACTATGCCCTCTTCAGAGGCGCCACTTCCTTTAAGAGGCTCTTCACCTGCTTCCCAGACTCACTCTCTCCTGCTTTCTCTGTGGCTCTTACTTCCTGTCCCGCAGTATTTCTCGCTATTATTCATTATTCATTTTTGCATTGGCCTCCACAGGAGAAAAGTCTCCTGTGTGAAGTCAAGGACTTAGTCTTGGACACCGCAGCATCCCCAGAGCTCGGAATCATGCTACTAGGTGCACCATGGGTGCTCAGGAAAGACTGGTTAACTGACTGAATAAAAGACTGTTTCTGCCGGGCGATGGTAGGGACGTCGACTTTAATTTCAGCACCTGGGAGGCAGAGACAGGCGGATCTCTGTGAGTTCAAGGCCAGCCTGGTCTACAGAAAAAGTTCTAGGACAGCTAGGACTGTTACACAGAGAAACCTTGTCTTGGGGGGGAAAAAGTGTTTTTGCCTTTGCTACTGCCTCCTATCCCTCCAACCTGCCCTGAGGTCCCCAGCACACTTGTCCAGGAAACCCTGTGCAAATTGTTCCTGCCCCCATCTCACTGGGTGAATTTGGATGCCATATATAGTCCAAGGGGAGTTTGCAGGCAGAAAAAAACAGGCTGCTTTATTGGAGCAAAGGGAAGAGGGGAGAGGAGGGAAGGGGGCTCTGGGCTTCAGGCTCCGCACCAGGGTGGTCTCACTAGGGCAAGCGGCTGACGAGGGGTGCAGGTCACTTTTTCCACTCTTTCTTTTCGTAATCCCAGTGGGCAGCCAGGCCCTGTATGGGGTTGCTCTTCATGTCCAGGAGGCGCTGGAGCTGCTGGGCTTTCCGCTCCTCCGTCAGGGTGATAACTTTCTCAGGGAACACTGCAGGGACAGCAAAGGTGAGACAGCAGCAGCCCAGGTCCCCACAGCCACACTCCCTCTGAGCCCCTGGCCACACTGTCAGGGTCCCCTGCACTGAGGGGTTCACCCCACTCCCTACTATCTCCAGGCTCTCCCCCCACCCCTCTGTTTCTGTCTCAGTCTTTTTGAAAAAGGATTTTACTCTGTAGCTCTGGTTGTCCTAGAACTCACTATGTAGACTTGCCTGGCTTCGAACTCACAGAGCTCCTACTGTCACTGCCTTCCCAGGGCCGGGATTAATGGTCCAGGACCAGGGCTTTGCTGCCAGTTTCCCTTAGACTCACTCCTTCCCCTCAGTGAATCTACTTCCTCACTTCTCTCTGTGACCAGTGGCAGACTGACTTGAGGACAATGTGTGCTGCCCCCAGCCCCGCCGCTTCTCTACTGTGTGGCCCCTAACAAGTTACTTCACTTCTCTGAGCCTCGCCTTCCTCTCCTGCCAGGAGTAGGCTCTCTCTGGGTGGGGATGGACATGGAGTGTGAGTACTTGTGAGATTCTGGGCATTTCTCTGACTGGACAGATAGGAAGCACTGGCTATGGGCTCCCACTAGACAGGAAGGGAGAGGGAGCTCCTTCTGTGTCCTGCAGTTGGGTGGGCGGTCGGATAATTAGGAGCAAAAGGTAAGCAGACACCATTGACTTTACAAACCAGGAAAGGAGCTGGACGGTGGTGGAGGCCTGTAATCCCAGTACTGGGAAAGCTGAGGCAGGAGGATAGAGAGCTTAAGGCCACCCTGGGCTACATAGTGATTTAAAAAAAAAAAAACAAAAAACAGAGAAGAACAGCATTTCACCCAAAGACTGGACCCTGGGGGAGGGACTTGAGAGACCCTTACCTGTGGACCCTCTTAGCCTAGCCTCTATCCCTGGTACTTAACTTTCCCCCTTCATTCATTTCATGGTGGGGGTATGCACAGTGGAGTGAGCTATGGTGCATGTGTGGAGGTGTAGGAGGTGCTTCTCTGCTTCCACCACGGGGCTCCTGGGAACTGAACTCAACTGAAGGCATGGTGGCACGCATCTTCAGCCACTGAGCCAGGCTCGTCGTAGTTTTTGAGGCAGGGTTTCTCACTGATGCTGGCGCTCACTGCTCAGCTAGACAGGCTACAGGAATCCTACTGTTTCTACCTCCCCAGTGCCCCAACACATCTCAACTTCAAAACAATTATTAATATTACTATTATTTCATGTGTTCTGCTTGCATATATGTATGTGCACCATGTGTGTGTCCCGTGCCTGAGCAGGCCAGCAAAGGGTGTCATATCCCCATTACTGACAGTTGTGAGCTGTCATGTTGGTACTGGGAATAAATCCAGGTCCTCTGAAAAAGCAGCCAGTGTAACTGCTGAGCCATTTCTCTGGCCTAATATATCCGCTTTTTATGCTGGGAGTGGTGCTGGTGCTGATGCTGGGGATCCAAACTCATTCTCATGTTTGCAAGGCAAGTACTTTTCTGAGTGAGCTGTCTCCCAACCTCATCACTGTCTCTATCCAGAGGTAGACAAGGATGGCCCCTATGACACAGCAAACCCTGAACTAGACCTCTCCGTAAAGACCTTCCCTTCTCATGTTTGTACAGGACAGGAATTCCTATCAAGCTTTTACTAGAAAAATCACAGCAGGTCACTGCCAGCATTTGGGAGGCAGGAGAGGCAGGCAGATCTCCATCAACTCAAGGTAAGTCTGGTCTACATGGAGAATTCCAAATCAGCCAGGAGCACATAATGAGACCTTGTCTAAAATAAATAAATACTCAAACAAAGGGCTGGCAAAATGGCTTAATGGGTAAATGTGCTTGCCACCAGGCCTGACAACTGAGTCCCCAAAGCTGTCCTCTGACCTCCACAGTAAATAAACTTTGAAAGAAAGAAAGGAATGACCCACCTTCAAAACAAACAAATGAACAAACAAAAAACAACCCACAACTCCTGCGAGGTGACTCACATCTGTAATGCCAACACTCAAAATTTCAAAGCAAAACAATTGCTGCAAGTTTAAAGCCAAACTAGGCTCCTTGGTGAGTTTCCCATCGTCCTGGATGTGGCGGTTTGAACACGAATGGCCTCCCATAGGCTCATATATTGGAATGTTTAGTCATTGGGGAATGCCACTGCTTGAAAAGGATTAAGAGGTGTGGCCTTGTTGGAGGAAGTGTGTCACTGGGGGTGGACTTTGAGGTTTCAGAAGCCCGAGCTAAGCCCAGTGTCACTCTCTTCCTGCTACCTACTAATCTAGAAGTACAGCTCTCAGCTTCTCCTCTAGTACCATGTCTGCCACCACGGCGATGGACTAAATCTCTAAAACTGTAAACCAGCCTCAATGAAATGCTTGCTTTTGTTAGAGTTGCTGGCCATGGCTTCTCTTCACAGCAACACAACAGTGGCTAAGACAGTGGCCTAAAGAGTAAGACCTTCACTTATCTATTTGGTTGACTGTTTTTGTTCTGTTTTTGAGACAGGGTTTCTCTGTGTAGCCCTGGCTGTCCTGGAACTCACTCTACAGACTGCTGTCTATAGACTCTATAGGCTGTTGTCAATGTCAGAGACCCATCCACTTGCCTCTGCTTCCTGAGTGCTGGGATTAACGGTGTGTGCAACTTCTGCCTGGCAAGATCTTGCTTCTAAAACAAAACAAAATTGTCTGATGTGGTAGTGCATGCCTTTAATCTCTGCATGCGAGTTCGAGGCCAGCCTGACCAACACAGGGAGCTCCAGGCCAGACAAGGGTACCTCTCTCAAAAGAGACAGAGACAGAGAGAGAGAGAAAGGATTCCCAGAAAACAACATTTCCTAGTTTCTCCTGTAGCTAAGCTAAGCAAGGACATATATATTATCATCTGTAGCCAATAGAACAGAAATAAAAGAGGCTGGACATGGAGAGACATCTTGTACATCAAAGGCAAGCTTCCCTTCCTGTTAAGTGTAACAGAGCAAAGGGTCTGTGAGTGCCCATCTTGGCCTGGATTGTTTCACTGGCCTTTTATTGTGAAAGAGGAATAACCCTAGCTAGGAGAGGTCCTGCATACCTAACCCCAATTCTCAGGAAGGAGAATCCCAAGTCTGAGGTCAGCCTGGTCTGCATAGTAAAGCCTGCTTTAAAGAAGGAGAAGGAGGAGAAGGAGAAGAAGAAGAGGAAGAGGAGGAAGAAGAAGGGAAGGAAGGAAGGAAGGAGGAAGGAAGGAAGGAAGATGAAAGGAAGGAAGGAAGAGAAGAAGGAAGGAGAGGAAGGAAGGAAGGAGAGGAAAGAAGGAAGGAAGAAGAAAGGAAGGAAGAAGAAGCTGATCGTAGTGGTGCACATCTTTAATCCCAGCACTTGGGAGGCAGATGGACCTCTGTGAGTTTGAGACCAGCCTGGTCTACATAGTAAGTTCCAGAACAGTCAAGACTACACAGTGAGACTGTAAAAAAAAAAAAAAAAAAAGGAAAAAGACAATATATTTGTGTCTTCCAGCTGTTGAAAAGTATGCTAAGAAGCACATGGTTAATACACAGTGATCAGAAACGCCACCATGCACGCACCCACCTGAACCTATAGCCCCCTCACTAAATCCTCCAGGAGCCCAGACAGAACTGGATGTTATTATTCCCATTTTGTATATGAGAATACTAATGCCCAGAGAGCTAACCTTCCTACCTTCCCCCCTAGGTGGCCATGTTCTGTTTTTCACCCTCCCTCTGTGGAGACTTTTTCAGAACCCTTCAGGCGAGTCCTAGAGAGCTCAGCCAGGAGCTATGGGCACAAGGGCATCCACTGCCTCCAGCCAACGACTCATACACTCACCATACACCCGCTGCCACCAAATCACCAGAGCAGTGAAGCCAATGAAAAAGAAGACGCAGCCCATCACTGTCTTCCATTCGTTGGAGCGATGGTTCATCTCTGCGAAGGTTTCGTGGAACTGGAGCCGGTACACTGGAGACAGGCAGTGTGTGGAAGGATGCTTACACAGATCCATGCCCAGGACCCTGGAACCAGCTGTTGGTCCCCGAAACCCTTGGCTGCCCCTTCTTGCACCATAGGCTGTGCACTCAGCCTCTTTTGTGGAATATTATTTTAACTCGACAAAGATAAGCTATACTTGTTCATGCTGCAGCATCTTACTTTAACTGTGTAAAGGTGTGTTGCTTTGCTTTTGCTGCATGTGTTTAATTCTGTAAAGATGTGTTGCAGCTGTCTCACCTTGCCTGTCTAAGGCACCTGATTGATCTAATAAAAAGCTGAATGGCCAACTGCCAGGCAGAAGAAAAGATAGGCGGGACTGAGGGCAGAGAGAATAAATACTAGATATCCAAGCTTGAGAAAGAAGAGGAACAAGAAAGGAGCCGGAGGGAGATGCCTGGGGCCAGAAGTCAGGCAGACGCCAGCCAGACACAGGGAAGCAGTGAAAGATATACAGAAAGAAGAAAGGTAAAAAGCCCCGAGGCAAACGGTAGATAAAGAGAAGCAGGATAAATTAAATTAAAAGAGCTAGCCAGAAACCTACCTAAACTAGGCCGAGCATTCAAAACTAACGATAAGTCTCTGTGTCATGATTTGGGAGCTGGTTTGCGGCCTTAAAGTAAAGGCCTGGTACACCTGAGGGTGCAAGTGTGTACATGACATATGTGCATGAATGTGGCGACTAGGAATCACCATCCGGTGTCTTCCATGATCACACTGTACCTTGGCTACCTTGTGTTTTGAGACAGGATCTCTCGCCAACCCTGAAGCTCACTGATTGGTCTATACTAGCTGGCCAGGGAGCGCCTCCTGTCTTGGCCTCCCCAGGGCTGGGATTACAGGCAGGTACCACACTGAGCCATCTCCCTGTACACCAGCCCATTGTTTTGTTTTGTTTTGGAGACAGGGTTTCTCTACTGATTATCCTGGAACTCGCTTTGTAGACCAGGCTGAGATCCACCTGCCTCGCCTCCCAAGTGCTGGGATTAAAGGCATGTGCCACCACTGCCCAGCTACACCAGCCCATTCTTATTTGCTTATGTATTTTGTTTGTTTTGAGCTAGGGTCTCACTCTGCTGTCCTCCCTCTGCTCCCTGAATGCTGCAACGCTAAGCAGCGCAGCCACCAGATTTTTTTTTTTTTTAACTTTGTATGCATTGGTGCAAAGGTGTTAGATCCTCTGGAACTGGATTTATAGACATTTGTGAGCTGCCATGTGGGTGCTAGGGATTGAACCCCAGGGCCTCTGGAAGAGCAGTCATCTCTCCAACCCCTGCCACCAGATTGTTATTAAGCACTTACTGTCTGTCTACAAAATATGGTAACCCTGTGCACAGTGGTTCCTACCCTCAAGACATTTAGGAGGGGAGGAATCAGTTATTTCACCAACTGTGTGATGGGTGAGGATGGGGAGCTGCCTCCATTAGGATGTCAAGAAAGCCTCTCAGAGGAGACCTTGGGACCCAGGTTTAGGAAATCAAACTTTCAGTCCAGCCCTGCGGAAGTAGAGGCAGACAAACCTCAGTGAACTCAAGGGCAGCCTGGACTGCACATTGGATCTCAGTCCAGCCGGCTTTACAATAAAACCCATTGTTGCAAAAATTAAGGCCTGGCGATGGTGGTGAAGCATACCTTTAATCCCAGCACTCAGGAGGCAGAGGCAAGTGGATCTTTCTGAGTTTGAGACCAGCCTGGTCTAGGACAGCCAGAGCAACACAGAGAAAGCCTGTCTCAAAAAACTAAAACATAAAAAAACTAAATTAAATTAAATTAAATGGCCCAGAACAGGAACAGATGGGGAAGGGGTGAGGAAGGGCAGCGTGGCTGAGGAAGAGGACTGAGTGTCAGCAGGAGGCAGATCCCACAGGGCCTGGCCAGCCCCAGGGAAGATGGGATTTGGGATGTCTATTCTGACTGAACAGGGAGGGTGCATTTCTGACGTGGAAGTACAGAAACAAGCTTTTATGTGACAATTCTTTATCAGGACTTTCCTGACTTCCCGCCTCCCACTGAGAATTTTTATCACTTGCTTTGTAGAACTCAAGCTCCCCAGACCCTCGAAAGAACAAGGGCTCTGGTCCCCATGCCTCCCCAGCACCGAGATCACTGGCAGCACACAAGAGGCTCTGTTTTGTGTCCTTATGCATTTAAAACCACAAAACATTCATTTGTTTTGGGAAAAAAATCTTAATACACAGCCTAGGCTGCCCTTGAACTCACAATCCTCCTCCCTCAGCCATTCCCAGGACTGGTATTATAGGTACATGTCACCATGCCAGTTTAAACTCTCTTTTGGGGGTTTGTTTTGTTTTTCAAGACAGGGTTTCTCTGAGTAGCCTTGGGTGTGCTGGAACTCACTCTGTAGACCAGGTTGGCCTTGAACTTATAGATCTGCCTGCCTCTGACTCCCAGGTGCTGGAATTAAGGGCATGCACCACCACCACCCAGCTACCATGCCAGCTTAAAGCTTTGTTTTTGTTTAAATTGTGCGCCTTCCAGTAATTATCAAAATATCAAAATATAGCCACAGTTGGATGCCTACCTAGGCTCTGGCGTGACTATCAGGAGATGCATGGACCAGGGCCATTGTGGCCCACTACCCAGCTTGATGCCTAAGCTCAGATCAGGAGTCACAGAATGAAAGAGCAATAGAGGGAACAAGCAATGTCTGTGAGCCACAGACCTGGTCTGAGGAGGACTTCGGGAAGGATGCTGATCTCCCTCCCTCCCTCCCTCCCTTTCCTTTTGCCCTCTTTTTTCCTGCTTCCTTTTCTCCTTTTTCTTTCTACCCTCCCCACTTCCCTCCTTCCCTGCCCCTCTCCCTTCTTGCAGTTCTTTAAGAGTGTGGCCTGTGTGAACACTGTGTCTCTGTACCTCAAATAGCTCCAAAATGGCTATGTGAAGGAAAATGAGCCCTGGCACAGGTTCCTGGGCAGAACCGTCTTGGGCTGGGCAGTTTGGCTGCCACAGTGACTCTCCACCCAGGCAGAAGCAGAGAGTAGGAAGGAGGTGGGGTGAAGGTGAGGGAGGGGGGATCCAGTGGCAAGAGGTCTAGGGCCCCGCTGGTGCTTGCTGAGAGCACTGGCTCCCTCCTGTAACTCAGCAGCCTTCCCAGAGTGTGGTGTGGCAGTGGTATGGCCCTGGTGTCTTCTGTGTGGGTCCAAGTCCTGACCGCTGGCTAGTAACTCTAAGTTGTGTGGCCTGGCCAGTGATGTCATCTCCCTGAGCTTCTGTTTCCTACGACTATGGGACCAGCTGCTGGCCAGTTAATGGTGGGTACAGGGACATACTTAATGTGGTGACATCTGGGTAAAGAAGAAAAGAGGGTCCTTTGCTTTCTGATATAGGAGGGAGATTGGTAGAAGGGAAAGGAGGGGGGAGAAGAGAGAGGAAGGAAGAGGGAGGTGGGAGCGAGGGGGAGGGAGTTGGAAGGGGAGTTGGCAGGTATGGAAGGAAGGAAAAGGAGCCAGGCAGAGCCCTGAGCATTTAAGTTTACAGGGCAAGGATGCAGCTTGTTCCCATCCGTGCCAGGGCCTGCCTTTGTAATAGATGCCAGTAAGATGCCCAGTGAGAGAAAGGATGAGGGAGTGAGCAACGCTACCTTCTGCCCATTAAGTAAGTAAGAGACATTGACACCCCCAGCTGTGAAAGGAGACCAAGAGGCTCCAGATAGCCCAACCAGATAGGTGAACCCAGGGCCACATAGCTCTCCTCCCTTCTTCCCTGCCTACCTCAGCTGCCTCTCTGTGCCCCACTTAGTGACATAAGGACCCCCACACCTGCTCCTGTGACACCCTTCTCCATGTCACTCTTATTCTCCCCAGAAAGATCTCCTGGAGACCCTCTCTGTCTTTTGGGTCTGCAGCCCCTGGGACACACCCCACCTTAGCCACACATCCTGTCTTACACTGTGAGGTCAGCCCAAGTGACTCTCCTCATGTCCCCAATGTCACTAGCTTCAAACATGGGCCTTCAGTGAACAAAGGGTGAGTTGGACCCCCACCCCCACCCCATGTTTTCCCCTTCTCTTTGGTCTGATAATCCACCTAGCCCAATACTTACAGGCCACCTTCTCCGCTTGGCTCAGCTGGGCCCAGCTGCCCTTCTCTTTCTCCTTCAGGGCCCGCTGCTCCTCACTGAGCTCTGTGCAGAAGGGTTCATCCGGCATGGGATAGGAGCGTTGGGCATAGCAGTCCACATAGGGGCTCATCCTCCGCTGGCTGCTAGCTGCAGGTACAAGAGAGGGAGCGGTGTCCAGGTTGCAACAGAACCACCTTTCTTTAACCATGACTTCAGTTATAAGTGGTACATTTCTTGTTCACTGTGTGTCAGTTGAAGGCTTTCAGGTGAGCTGGCTCATGGGCCACATGTCACTCTGAACCAAAGGATGGATGTGGTCATCTCCATTTGACAGATGAACACACTGAGCCTTCAGGCAAGGAGCCCAGGTCACCCACTCTTTGCTGCAAATCCTGTATTCTCTGGGAAGAACTAGGCTTGAGAGGAGGTCCACTGAGGCAGAGGCTAGGGGTGAAGAAGGGCTTAAAGAGGGAGCCGAGATTCAGGCGAAACAGTCATGCAAACTATAAAGCACCCTGTGGCGTGACTTTACATGTGCTTAATGGGGCTTCAGTGACAGCTGGGTATGTACTACAGCTCGATACAACTCACACTGAATGCAACTGCATCTACACAGCCTCCTCTAGAAGCCTCACACCTCGGTGGAAGCTTCCAGATAACGCATCAAAGGTCCTCTGGGGGAAGAAGGGCCGAGAATGTAGTTAGCCCAGTGGGTAGAGTGCTTGCCTAGTACTTTGCTGAAAGTCTTGGGATGTGAGAAGGCCTGAGTTTGATTCCCAGTACCACAAAGCATGGGGGCACATGCCTATCATCTCATCCTTTGGGAGCTGGAGGCAGAAGGATTAAGAATTCAAGGTTATCCTCAGCGATATAGCAAATTCCAGGCCAGGCTGGTGCAGGAGAGCTTGTATCCAAAAAGTAAGACGGAAGGAGAGGGCCTGGGCAATGACTCTGTGGGTAGAGACAGTTGTGGTGGTAGGCTGAGCAGAGTTCAATCCCTGGGACCTTCACAAAGGTGGGAGGAGAGAAGATTCCACAAAGCTGCCCTCTGATCTCCCCACAAGCATGGTATAACATGACCCCATATATCTTGCATACATACAATAATAAATTTAAATGATCCCTGTACATCATGCATACCAGCAATAGTAAACGTTTTTAAATCACCAAAGGCTCGGCATACTGTAGTATTCTGTGATCATAGGTCCAGAAAGGATAGTGAAGAACCACAGCCTTGTAGAGACTTTCCTTGGAGACTAGGCCTCAGCTTCGTGCAGATGGCCAGGTTGCCCAGAGCAAGGCCAGAAAGTGGAGGGTCTCACTACAGGCTGTCCTGCTTGTTGACACCAGAGGCAAGAAAATAGCATCAGAGAAGTCTTGGTTCTGAGTCCTATCTCTCTGTCTGTCTGTCTGCCTGCCTATCTATCTATCTATCTATCTATCTATCTATCATCTGTTTTGGTGTTTTGAGACAGCCTTGCCTATAGCTCAGGCTGGTCTTGTCTCTAAGCCACAGTGATCCTCCTGCCTCGGTCTTTCAAATGCTAGGGTTGTAACTATAAACCACCGTGCCCAGCTTTGTTTTTGTTGTCGTTTTTGTTTGTGACAGGGAATCAGTCCATAAACCAAACTGTTTGGGGACGTGTGGCAGCCCTCAGCCTCAGCCTCCTGAGTACCCGGATTGAGGTGTGAGCCACCATACCCATTCTTGCCTTGGGTGCTGCCCTATCTAGTACCTAGAGCTCTGGGCTCCGGCTGTTCCTCTAAGAAGCAGAGCTAGCACTGCCTCACACTGTTATTGCAAAATCTAAAGTAAAGTGATAAGCATAGCTAGGGGGGTCCCAGGAATGGATCAGCCAATGTTATCTTTGACGTTACTCCCCTGAGCAACAGGAGACCCTTTCTGCTATCTGGCCGAAATCTCACCTGCTTTAGACCTCTTCTTCTGACTAGCCCTGGCACCAAGGTCTGGAAAGGAGCATTCAGGGTCTCCATCCTTGTAGCACCCTCCCCTTTGGGAATCAAAGGTCTCAGGGGACTAAGGTGTGGGCTAGACTCTAAGGAAACCTGGGACGAAGGGTTCTACTCTCTTCTTCCGCAGTGGACTCCGTTTGCTGGCGGAGCTCGGTCTAGGACCCAGGCGCAGGATCACAGGATGTAATAGATAGGAGGCAGTTAACAAGGCTCTCTACCAGAATTCTGGAGCAGGGCTGATACCTGGGTCTGAGCCTTACCAGTGCCTCTTGGGCTGTGTGTCCCTCGAGTTCCCAGTCCTCCGGTCCTCATCCGCAGACTCCAGGCAGCTCTGGAGAGCATCTGTGGGGTGGGAGACACCACACGGTTCTCTGACTGCCCCTGGGGCCAGATTCTGCTTTGCTAGTGGGTTGGAAGTGACCCTCTTCAGCTTTGCCAGTTACGTGGCAGTGGGTGGAGGTGAGGCGCTAGATCTTTGGGGCCCTCTTGGGTTTTCCATTCATCGTTTGAGAAGCGGGAGGAGGTCAAAACTCTGGATAAGGTCTGAACGGTTTGGGTCTAGGGGTGAGGGTGGGGCCTGAGCTCTGCTGCCAGTCTCACATCAGCCAGGTTGGGAGCCCCATTAAATTGTCTGCCCCAGAGAAAAGTCCTGAGCCTCCTCCCCGCAGAGCAGCTGGCCCAGATCTCAGAGCAGATGCTCCGCAACTTGCTCCCAGGTCTCCTTAATTGACTGCCTACGTGCGTTCTGCCTGCTCTGCAGCAGCAGGAGGGGGCAGGCTGCGCCCTACCATCACTCGGACACGTAGGGTCTGGCATCCCAACGACTTTAGAGGCCAAGGACCAAACTAGTTCAGCGGGTGGGCGAGGCAACACATTTAGGAAAAGGGCCAGTCATCTTCTGGGAAGAGGAGACCCAACTTCCCGGGAACGAGGGAATGCCCAGGGCTAGGTCTCTGGCATCAGAACCGGACAGTGAGGGGACCCCAGGAAGGCAGGGTGTGCGGTGATGGGACAAAGGCTCAGGATGGCCACCGCGAACATCTCACCCCCGCGACCCTTCCCTCGGGCGGAACTCACCTTTCAGACTGAAGGCAGCGGAGCGACCCAGCGCTGCCCCGTTGAGTGACTGGCAGGGAATTGAAGACCGGACCGAGGGGACCAGAGCTCGCCCCGCCTCCGCCCGCCACCCCCACGTGGGAACGTCCCGCCTCTGTCGCTTGTGCTGAGCCGAGTCCCCAGGGGCGCGGGAAAAGAGAGAGTGTTGCTGCTGCCCCCCCCACTACCCCCCCCGCCCCGTCCCCAGCGGTGTGGGGACCTCCTCAGATCCCGGCTGGCAGAGGAGCAGGAGGTCCCTGATACTCCACCTTTCTCCTTGTCATCCCACCACGAATGCCCTGTGGTTTTGAGTTAGGGTTTCCTGTAGCCCAGGCTGGCCTCAAACTCACTAGATAGCAGAGACTTGGCTACCTCTTGCTTCCGGATCTCGGAGATTACAGGTGTGACTGTAAAATTGTCTTGTCCTTCCAGCCTCCTCTCCTAGACAGCCTTCGAGGACCACTGTGGGCGCTCCGTCGGCCCTCTACCCTGAGAGGGTGAGGTGTGGGGAGAGGAGAAAGGCTTCTTCACTGGCAGGCCAGCAGCGGTCCCAGGATTCAGGGACAGAGGCAGGAGGATCACAAAGTTCAAGGACAAGCTTTGCTGCAAAACCTTGTCTCTAAGCAAAAGAGATAAATCCTCCCCTGGGATTTTCATCTGATCTGTGTACTCTGACAAATGGCCTAACGTCTCTGAGCACGTTTTCTCTCCCATGAGAAAGACCTAAGGCTAGTTCCTACCTCATGTATTGTGCTTCACTGGCTGTGATAGCTTCATTACCAGAAAAAAACTCAGGTACATTCAATAAAATAATTACTCACTGATCTCAGCACTCCAGAGAAAGAGGCAACTCTCCTAGCTGGTCTATGAGGTCAGCCTGGTCTACATACCTAGTTCCAGCCCAGCCAAGGCTACAGAGTGAGGCACCACCCCCAAAACAAAACCAAACAAAAGAATTATTTATTGATACTGTGCCAATGAAGCAGTTTAATCCCAGCACTTGGGAAGCAGAGGCAGGTGGATCTCCATGAGTTCAAGGCCAACCTGGTCTACACAGTGAGCTCCAGGACAACCAGGACTATGTAGAGGGGACCCTATTTCAAAAAAAGATAAATAGATGGAATAAATTATTATTTGTGTGTGTGTGTGTGTGTGTGTGTGTGTATGAGAGAGAGAGAGAGAGAGAACAGGCATGCATATGCCATAGTGAAGAGGTGGAAGTCAGAGAATAATTAGTTCAGTAAGTACTCCTACCTACTGATGAGTTCAAGGCCAGTCCGAGCTACAAAGTCAGACTTCTCTATCCAGTGGAGCTAGGTGTGGAAAAAAAGGCTTAGCATCCCAGCATTCAGAGCACCGGAGAACCTGACTGAGTTCAAGATCAGGCTGGACTACTTATTGATTACCAGGTCAGCAAGAACTGTCTAGAAAGATCCTGCTTCAAAAAGAAAGAAAAGGGGGGTGGGGTGGGGACTGGGGAGCAGGGAGATGTAGCTCAGGTGAAGAATGTTTGCCAGGCTTAGAGAAGGCTCTGGGTTTGATCCTAGCACTCAAAGCAAAACAAAAGTTTTTCTTTTTCTTTTTCTTTTTAAAGGAAAGAATGTACCCAGTACAGCTGCATTCATTACCTCTACAATGACAAGACCAGACAGAGTTCCTGCTCTTAGGGGCTCACCGTCCGGTTCCAGTCATCAGGATCGACCTGTAGAAGCCTGAAGGCAGAAAGACCCAGGGTGTCTTCCAGACCAGAAGGACAGGGAGGAATGCAAGAGGAAGGTGAGATGGGGCAGGGAGAAGAGGGGCGAGGTACGAAGCAGGGGCCACAGTGAGGGTCTCGAATTTTATTTATTTATTTAGTTAGTTAGTTTTGGTTTTTCAAGACAGGGTTTCTTTGTATAGCGTTGGAGCCTATCCTGGAACTTGTTCTGTAGACCAGGCTGGCCTCGAACTCACAGAGATCCACTTGCCTTTGCCTCCCGAGTGCTGGGTTTAAAGGTGTGAGCCACTACCATCTGGCTTGAATTTTATTCTAAAGAGGATAAGAGGCTCGGTGGTGAGTGCTTGGCCAGCACGTCCAAGGTCCTGGGCTCAATTTCCAGTGCCTATAAAAGAATGAGAGGTGACCAAAGGCCAGATGTGGATTGCTGAGGAAACGGAGGAGAACTTGGATTCAGTTAGGGAAGCCCACAGTTGTCAGTAGACTGGTAGGTGAGGGCTGTGGTTCTACTGAGAACAAGAGGCTCTGTATCCTGGTTTGTGTCCATGGCGTGTGCCCATCCCCCAACCCATCCATCAGAGTTTCAGTAACCTGTCCAGGCCAGTTTACTGAAAGGAAGGGGCCAACTCCTTAAAGGAAAAATAGGCTTGCAAGGGCAGACATTCAGAAGGCTAGAAGAACTTAGAAGCAGGCTACATCTCACCTCCATTCTGGACCAGGGTAGTAGGGCCCGGGAAAGGCATATATGGGGTGCAAGGATTCTAATACCCCCCATCCTCTGCCCAGTGACAAAAGCAGGCCATGCCAGGCTCTCTAGTGGTCCCTCCTGGGATCTTCCCTACCTTTCCAACCAAGGTAATTCCGGAAGACAGAGATACAAAAGGACTACTTTCCTTCTTGGAGACTGACAAGGTGTCCTGCAGCATGGCCCCGGCGGGCAGAGGGTGGAGGAAGATTCTCTGTCCTGCAGACTTGAAGAAGCACACCTTGCCAAAGCCCAGCTCCCCCCTCACCCCCATGCTCTGCACCCTTCCGCAGTGATGAACCCAGGCTCTTGCCACCATACCCAGCAAGCCTTCAGCCTTCCCAGATGGTGGGTAACTGTGTTGGGAAGAGTGGCTTATGTATATGGACTCTACTGCAGCCACTGGGCGAGCCGTGTCACTTCTGGGCCTCAGTTTCCAGTCACTCACAGGGCTCCCAAGGGAAGGTTTATGTGGAACATGACCCTCTGTTCTTCGCTATCCTTTCCCACCAGCCTCTGTGGGAACTCCGGGCTCCCGATGAGCAGTGAGGCCGTGATGAGGAACATCTGTTTGGAAACTCTGTCCAGGGCTGAGGAAAAAGAGCGCAAACAGGACCCCTCCACCAGGCATGGGAGGTATGGGGGCTCGCTGTGCTTGTAGGGCCGTGGAAGAACAACCTCTGTGGGTCTTGGACCTGTGACAGACACTCTGACATCAAGTCACTCGAGGGGCCCGGGCCTGGGAATGAGTCTGCCTCTGATTCCCTGGTGAGACTGATGTCCTCCTGGAGTCTGGGTACTTGGAGTGGAGAGTTAAAGGTCATCCCCAGTCACATATCGAGGCCAACACAGGGTGCATGAGACTTCAAAACAAAACAGAATCATGGTTGGCACCAGAGTAGGGAACAGTCCTGCGGGCATTGTACACGTGCCCTGGGCCCTAGGGCTGCACTTGTGGAGGAAGGGAGGGGTTGTTCTTTTTTCTGTTGGCACAAAGGTTTGGTCTTGGGGACATCTATAGAAAGATAGAAGCACTGGGAAGGCAGACACAGGTAGATCTTTGTGCGTTCAAGGCCAGTCTGGTCTACAGATCAAGTTCCAGGACAGCCAGAGCTTCTCTATCCTTTAAAAAAAAAAAAAAGCTTTCATTTATTTTCTTTAGGTTTTTTTTTCCATGTTCATGTTCACATCCATGTTCTCAAATTTCTAGGCTTTTTTTTTTCTAATAAAGATTTATTTTAGCCGGGTAGTGGTGGTGCACGCCTTTAATCCCAGCACTTGGGAGGCAGAGGCAGGCGGATCTCTGTGAGTTTGAGGCCAGCCTAGTCTACAAAGTTTCAGGACAGGCTCCAAAGCCACAGAGAAACCCTGTCTCAAAAAATAAAATAAAATAAAATAAAATAAAATAAAAAATCTTTTTTAAAAAAGATTTATTTTGCGGGGCTGGAGAGATGGCTCAGTGGTTAAGAACACTGGCTACTAATCCAGAGGACCCGGGTTCAATTCCCAGCACCCACGTGGCAGCTTGCAACTGTCTGAAACTCTAAGATCTGACACCTTCACATATACATGTAGGCAAAACACCAATGCACATAAATTTTAAAAAAGATTTATTTTTAATTGCATGTGGGTTTATATGTGAGTGCAGGTGCCTAAGGAAGCCAGAAGAGGGTGTCAGATCCTCTAGAGCTGGAGATACAGGTAGCCATGGATGCTGAGAGTACAATTCAGGTCGGCCACAAGAGCAGTGAGCTCACCCTCAACTACCTATCCAGCACAATTTCCTCATTTTCTTCTTTCCTTCCTTCCCTCCCTCCCTCCCTCTTCCTTCCTTCCTTCCTCCCTCCCTCCCTCCCTCTCTCTCTCTCTCTCTCTTTCTTTCTTTCTTTCTTTCTTGATATTTTGAGTCAGGGTTTCTCTGTATAATAACCCTGATTGTCCTGGAACTCGCTTTGTAAACCAGGCTGGGTTCAAACTCATAGAGATCCACCTGCCTCTGCCTCAGGAGTGCTGGGATTAAAGTCATGTGCCACCACCGCCCAGCTCCAAGCAAATTTTTAATCCCAGTACTTGAGAAGCAAAGACATTTGGATCTCTGTTGAGTTTGCTGTCAGCCTGGTCTACAGAGCTAGTTTTAGGACAACCAGGGTTACACAGAGAGACTCTGTCTTGAAAAACAAGAAGAAGAGGGGGAGAAGGAGGAGGGGGAAGAGGCTTGCTATTAACTCAGGTACGGAAGTTCTGAGGATTTCTCCTGCTTGCCGGCTCCTGCCTTTCTTCCATTCCTGTGGTTCCATCCAGGGTCCGCCATTGCATTCAGTGTCATCTCACTGACCTGTGGCCGTTCTTCAGGCCTTCCCACTTCTCTCTTTTTCAAGGCCTGGACAACGTTCATTTTGCTTTCCCACTTTGAAGAGTTGGAGTCTGTTGTGTTTATAAGAACTGTCTGCCAGTTTGGACTCCCCAGCATTTTCTCAGAATCCAATTAAAATTACACATTCCTGGGGAAAACATCACAGGGGTGGGAAGTTGTGTCTCACCTCTCTCCATGTGTTCCTACCGAAGGTGTTTGATGTTGAGTCACGTGACTGGGGAAGAGACCCCTGATTGAAGCTAAGGTGGTCTCTACTTGGATTTTTGTTTCTTTTTTGTTGTTGTTGTTTTGTTTCTGTTTTTGTTTTTCTGGGACAGGGTTTCTTTGTAGCTTTGGAGCCTGTCCTGGAACTAACTCTTGTAGACCAGGTTGGTCTCGAACTCACAGAGATCGGCCAGCCTCTGCCTCCAAATGCTGGGATTAAAGGCATTCGCTACCACCACTTGGCTTTTTGAAACATTGTAGTAGTATTTTTTGTTTTGTTTTGTTTTTGAGACAGGGTTTCTTTGTGTAACAACCTTGCCTGTCCTGAAACTCAATCTATAGACCAAGCAGGCCTCAAACTCTGAGATCGAGGCCTGCCTTTGCCTCCCCAGTGCTGGGATTAAAAGCGTGCACCACCACGGTCCGGCTCTATTTATTTTAATTTTATGTGCAAGAGTGTTTTTTTCCTGCATGTGTATCTATTTCTTTGGAGACTTGCATGCTTGGTAAGCTAGGAGGTGAGACAGAATTGAATTGCCTGGAACAGAAGTAACGTAGCTAGGAACTGATCTCAGGTCCTCTGCAAGGACAGCAAGTGTTCTTAACCATTGAGCCACTGATCCTCCCCTACTGTAGAATTATTGTTAGTTTTTGAGACAGGGTCTCAAAATAGCCCTGGTTGATCTGGAACTCACTATATAGTCCAGACTGGCCTTGAACTCTTAGAGGTCCACTTGTCTCTGCCTTTCAAATGCTGGGATTAAAGGTGTGCATCACCACACTTGACCCATTATTATTTTTTAAAGGTTTATTTTTAGGGGCTAGAGAGATGGTTCAGTGGTTAAGAACACTGACTGCTCTTCCAGAGGACCAAGGCTCAATTCCCAGCACCCAGATGGCAGTGATGGAGGAGGATTATCTGTCTATTGCTGTCTATTGTGTTATTTTCATTGGTTAATAAAGAGACTTCCTTGGCCCTCTGATAGGACAGAAAATTAGGTAGGTGGAGTAAACAGAACAGAATGCTGGGAAGAGGGCAATGGGGCAGACGCCATGGAGCCAGCCACCAGGTCAGACATGCTAAATCTTTTCTGGTAAGCCACCACCTCGTGATGCTACACAGATTATTAGAAATGGGTTAATCAAGATGTGAGAGTTAGCCAGTAACTAACTCTCTAGAGATAATGGGCCAGGCAGTATTTAAATGAATACAACTTATGTGTTATTATTTCTAGGGCTAAGCTAGGCGTGCGGGAGCTGGGCAGGATGAAAAGCAGGCCTGTCCGCAACTCCTCACTACATGGCAGTTCACAACTGTCTCTAACTCAGCTCCAGGGGACCCAACACCAATGCACATAAAATAAAAATAAATAAATTAAATTTAAAAAAGAATTATTTTTTATCTCTATGTGTAGATGTCAGTGTGAGTGTATGCCACATGTGTGGATGCCTACAGAGGCCAGTAAAGGATGCGGGGTCCCCTGGAGCTGGAGTTACAGGTAGTTGCGAGCCACTGGGCTGTGTGCTTGCCAGTCCTCTGGAAGCACTCCTAACCACTGAGCCGTCTCTCTACCGAATATTATTACTTTACTTTGTGAGGCATATGTATGTATGTGGGTGGGTGTGTGCCCATACGTGTGGTGTGTGTGACATGTGCCAGATGTCAGCATCAGGTGTCTTCGTCTGTTACTCTCTACCTTGTCTTATGAAACAGACTCTCTCACTGAACCTAGAGTTCACCGATTGCCCTTGGCTGGCTAGCCAGCAAGCCCAGGGAGCCTTCTGTCTTTGCCTCCTTATCACAAGGGTTATAGGTTCACATCTACACACACACACACACACACACACATACACACACACACACACACACACACACACACACACACACTCACTTTCTCTCCCTGACTAGCGATCAATCCTATGGCCTTGCACATGCTAGGTCAGTGCTCGACCACTCAGCTACACCCCCAGAACTTTTAAAAAATGTATTTACTCTCTTTTTTAAGACAGGGTTTCACTAAATGGCTCAGGCTGGGGTGCTGGATCAACAAGTGAAGGCTGCTCCACTCATCAGAAGTGAGTGTGAGCCCCAGGACCCACATGGTGGAAAGAGAGAACCAACTCCTGACAGTTTTCCTCTGACCACCAGACAAGTTCACCATGGCAGGAGTGGGCCCACTTCCTCCAACCAGGCATTGCTTCCTGTTTTCAGTCGTCTTTTAATGATACCATCAAATCGTGAATCTGGAGCTGGAGAGATGGCTCAGCAGTTAAGAACTGCTCTTGTACTGGGCGGTGGTGGTGCACGCCTTTAATCCCAGGACTTGGGAGCAGAGACAGGTGGATTTCTGTGAATTCGAAGTCAACCTGGTCTACAAGAGCTAGTTTCAGAACAGCTGGGGCTGTTACACAGAGAAACCCTGTCTCGGGGTGGGGGGATAAACTACTCTTGCAGAGGACCTGGTTCCTGGCTTTGATTCCCAACACCCACATGAGGTGGCAGCTCCCTGTTTTAGGGGATCTGATGTAGGAGGGTCTTCTTTCTATGTGTTGCTTTCATTGGTTGAATAAAGAAAACCGCTTGGCCTTTTGATAGGGCAAAACTTAGATAGGCAGAGTAGACAGAACAGAATGCTGGGAGAAAGGAAGCAGAGTCAGAGAGAGCCGCCTGCCATAAAGCTACCAGGTCAGATATGCTGAATCTTTTCCCGTAAGCCACAAGCTTGTGGAGACATACAGATTATTAGAAATGGGTTGAATCAAGATGTGAGAGTTAGCCATTAAAAGTCTAGAACTAATAGGCCAGGCAGTGTTTAAATGAATACAATTTGTGTGTTGTTATTTTGGAGTATAAGCTAGCCAGGCAGCAGGGAGCCGGGCGGCGGGAAGTGGCCCGCCAGACTATGGAAATTTTCCTTTGTTAAAAAAGAGGAGGGGGAGTGGTATGGGAAAATTGTCTGTATTCTGTCA